TGTCTGTCAATGATCTCCAGCCCATATGATAAGGTGGGGGACGCTAGGCCCCTGGGCCACGCTCTTGGACTCCAGCAGCTCCCTCTTTCTGTGTGGCTGACTGTTGGGTGTAGTTGTCAGGGACTCATGCAGGCAGGTCACGTCCACCCCATCCAGGAGTGGCTTGGATAGTCCTGACCCTTGAGGCCTGCTCCAACACCTCCAGTGGGTGCCCCTACGCCTGAGCCTCGGGGACAGCCAGAGTTCCGAAGGTCCAGGGCAGGCAGAGCAGAGGATGGCTCTGCTGTGAGCTGCCAAAAGGGGTGGGAGTGGGGGTGGGGTAGAGGTGACTTTGAACCTGGGGCCGGCCAGCCACGCCCCCTCCACCCAGAGCAGCTTCCTTCCTGCCCAGTGAGCAAGCATGGAGGGCCTCCTTGCCCACAATGCCCTGCGTCATGCACGGACCCCCGGGACCCCAGTCACCTGATCTCCGAGAGCTGCCCTGCCTACACTGGGAGCCACTGTGCAGCTCAGAACAAAGGCATAGGCCCCACCCTGCCCACCAGCCCCATCTCTGTCCCTGGCCCCATCCTGTTGGGGGCTGCTACAGACCCGAGTGTTGTGATGACCAATGGGGGGCGGCGAGACAGGGGCCCCCCCCTTGTCTTGGACTAGAGGCCGGACCCCAGGTCGCTGGGCCTGACATGACACGCCTGCTTCCCCGGAAGCCGGGGGCGGGCGGTGGACAGGGACATAAATCACAGTGGCAGCATGCTCTGCTGGGGGAGGGGCAGCCGAGAGAAGCCACTCAGCGGGGTCGGTACCCCCACTGGCCAAGAGATCTGCCCTGACCCTGGTCAAATGGTGGCTCCATGTCTCCACTGCACCCACGCTGCCTGCGCCCGCACCCTGCAGGGAGGCACCCATGCTGAGGCGACGGCCCTGCTCTGGGCCCCAGGGAACCGCGATAGTCATGCCCCGAGGCTGCCCGCCTGCCCTGCTGCCACCTGAACCAAGGGAGGAGAGGCCATCACGCGACAAGCAGCCAGCCACTGAGGGGCTTCCAGATGTTGGGGGTCACAGGTGTTGGGGGACAGGCCCAAGGTTGGTGGGCGGGGTGGAGACAGGAAGGCTTCCTGGAGGCAGTGGCAGCGATCTGCTCCTCAGCCAGGGCCTAGGCAGCAGTGAGCTGGCAGGGGTTGGGGGTGCGTTCCAGGCTGAGGCCAGGCAGCGAGGGACACTGAATGGAGGGCATTGTGACCAAGGGTACTGTGCCTGGAGGGGGGCACCTCAGAGCAAGTGGAGGGGACAAGGCTGGCCCCAGGGCCCAGCAGACCTGGCACTAATGTGCCAGGGCACGGCCTGTGGCCTCATTGTGGCTTTGAGGTGGATGTTGTGCCCCATGTTGTCAGGTGCCAGTGAGGTGCTTGCGACTCAGAGTGACCCCGCCCGCCCCATGCCATCCTCTCCGCCCTTGCTGTGCCTGAGCCCGTGGTTGCTGCCACTGTGTCCCTCTGCCTCGTCGATGCTGGTCCGCCACTTTACCGAGCACGCTGTTCTTCTCCAGGGACTGGTCCAAAGTGCGCCACCCTCGCTTCCATGGAGCCCTCTGGTTGTCCTTCTCCCGGGACAGGTCTGCTTGTTCTCCCGGGAGTCTGCGGACTGCCTTGTCTTCCACGTCAACACCGTAGCACCCGGGCTCCCACTCTTCCTTTGCTTTCCTGCCACTGCACGTGAAGCGATTGGAAAGGCCCTGGCTTGCGTCAGGCACTTCTCAGCCCTCCCAGTGTCATGGTGCCTGAGCAAATGGCCCAGTGCCGTCCTGGCCAGCACTTCCAGGCCAGTTGATGTGGATCCCAGTAAAGCGACCTCTGGCAGCTTCTGTCGTCCTCCGTTGACGGTGGTCCTGGTGTGAGTGTTTTGCTTTTCTCCCTGTGGAGGCGTGGCCCCTATGGCAGGCTGCAGGCGTCCTTCTTGCTCAGCCCGAGCTTCAAGTGCCCTCTGCTTCCCGCCAGCAGGGTTCATCCTCTGCCTGGCACAGGTTTCCATGAGCCGTCCTCCAGGGCCCGTGCTGGGCCCTTCCTCAGCGCACCCAGCTTCCTCGGGCGATTTGCCCAGCAGCCAGCGGCCACACTGAATAAGTTTGCTGAGAGGATGCCACCCCAGCGTGCACCTGTCCGGTTTTAAACCCCGAGGCGACCCTCGTTCTATTCTTGCTGCCTCCCTCCGTCTGCTGCTCCCGAGTCCAGGCGGTCTCACATCCGGCTGGGGCCTGTCTTGCCCTGTGCCATGTCCCTGGCAGGATGTCCCCACAGAGGGGCAGTGTCGGGGCTGCTGCCTGGTGCTGTGGGAGGGGAAGTAGAGCCCCTAGGGGTGCGTGCAGGGGCTGGCCTTGGGGCTCTGCCCAGCTCCCCCATGCCAGCTTTGCTGAGGGGGCAGGTGGGTGGTGCTCCTTCACAAAGCCCGCCTCCCTACCCCATCTTGCCCACACCTGGTTTTCCTGCCCTTCCTCCGACCCTGCCTTCCTGGCACCGGAGGAGGCAGCTCCCCATGTGCACTGGCGGCCGGGAGCGGAGGGACCTGTGAGGGAGGCGAGGACAGCCCGACTGTGGACCTGTTTTCTCGCTTTTTGCTGAAACTTTGGTCAAGTGCTGGGTTGGTCACGGGATACAAGTCTTTGGCAGCACTGCCCCAGCCTATCCCCAAGCAGACTGACAGCACCCCAGTCTCCACCCAGGCCTGCTGTACCCTGAGCAGCCCATCCCTGATGTGGCCTGCCCCTTGGCACGTGACTGCAGGGTGACTGTCCCTTGGGGCCACTGGCTGCTGAGCCCAGCGCCGCTGTTCTCTGGGCTCCTTGTTGAACCTCAGCTGCTAGGAGCGGGTCTCTCTCCTCGGGCTTTGGGGTGCCCGTGGCCTCCGGGTACTGTGGGGTACTTGTGCTCATGTGTGCTTGCACGCTTGTTGCCTGGTGAGCCTGGCAGCGCCACCGTGGTCACCCCTTCCTTGGTTCTCGAGGTAGGAGGAGCCAGAGGAATTGGCAAGACCCCCAGGGCTGGAGGGGAGTGGCACGTGGCCCTCTGTTTAGTGCCTGCTGTGGGCCCGGCCTGATGTTGCTGTGGGGAAAGCGTTGGGTGCCACTAACCTCAAGCTCAGCGGTTCAGACCCACCAGCCGCTCCGTGGGAGAAAGATGAGGCTGTCTGCGTCTGTAAAGATGAGCAGCTTCAGAACCCCTCTGTGGTGGGGCAGAGTCAGAGCCCCTCAAGGGGTGGGTGGGTGGGTGGCTGGCCCAGGCTGCCCACAACACTGTGTCCACCACCTGAGAGCTCCGGTGGGCGGTGGCCAAGACAAAGCGAGAGAAAGTTCTGGAGGTGATGGCTGTGCAGGTCGGGCTGCAGCTGTGGTTAACGGCTGCACTGTAGCTGGAAGGCGAGGGGCCGGATGCCAGGAAGAAAGGCCTGATGATGGGTGTGGGAAAGGCCATGAGCACCCAGCTGCCTCGGGTCGTCCGCACACACAGGCCTTACAGGAGAGCTTGGGGAGGCACGTCCTGTGGCATTTTACCCAGGACACTATCTTAGAATGCTCTAGAAGGCCCTGAGGCAGGTGTTTTGGAGGGTGGGAATCTGAGGCAGTCAGGTGGGAGCTGCACAAACA